TTTGGTGGTGGTGGGGAGTTTCTCTGTTGATTGCCTTGATCAGGTGCTAACCAATATCACAATTGAATTCCTGGAGGATTTTCTGAAACTTGTTCTGGACTGTAGGAGGAGGCCAAACAAAAATGCTTTTTGTTGGTTACAGAAAGTATCATCCCCTTGTGGAAGCTGTAGATGCTGCAGTAGCAGCATCCAAAGCCACCCACAGGAGCAGTAGCACCAGCTGCATTTGGAGCAGCACCAGCATCCACAGTTAGAGCAATATCTGCATCTGGAACCATATCTGCATTCTGAGCAGTAGACTATTTTAGTAGCTCTGATGATGCATCTCCTGGGGTGTATTCCAGAGGCAGRGGGAGGGAGGCAGTTGCAGAAGAAGGAACCAATTCCAGAGAGCCAGTCAGTAAACTGTGCCACAGCTGGAATATGCTTGTTCTTGCATTTAGACAGGCAAGCACAGCTCACACAGCTCCTCCCAGTTCCTGAACAGCTGCATCCCTTGACCCCCCTGCAGGGAGTTTAGAGTATGTGCTGAATTTTGTGCAATCACAGCAAGGCAGGGGCTTCCTACACTTGTTGTTGCAGGTGTTATTGTTGGTTCTGACTTGCCAATTCCTGACATTTTCACTTTGTAGGACATAGTAGGAATCCTACAAGGAGAAAAAACTCATCAACTGTGACAAACTGACCACTTCTGACACTCAGTGCCATGAACTCCTCTCACAGTGCTTGGAGAGGTCTCTACTAGAGCCTCCAGTCTAACACTGAGCACAGCAGTTCCAGAACCCTCTTTAATACAGCTGGTACAAGAACCACAGCTAGTCAGACTGCCATGATCCCACTCCAGTAGTCATAGTAGAACCACTACTTGTTCTTGTTGTTATAACTAGTAGCAGACACGAGACAAAGGATACGATTAGTGGTAATACTACTGGTGGCACTACTACTACAATTACTACAATTACTACTACTACTASTAGTACAACTGCACGAGATTACGTGTACTTTGCTTTAATTGTGTATGAATATSCTAGGCGTTTGAGGACCGGATCCACCAAGGACAAGTGGTTAGTAAATGGTCCTCAGGATCATATTCCCATGTCATTATGTAGACTTCAACATCCAAGCCAGTCAAGATATTCATGATGAATGCTTGGGCACCATAATCTGGAGCAGATTTCAATCCCATTGGTAGTCAGAGGCATCTGTAGTTGCCATGCACTGTAGTGAGTGTGCAGATCTTCTGGCTTTCCTCATCGAGTTCAAAGCAGTAGAACATCATGGACAGATCAATTTTAGTGAAGTGATCATACTTTTGTCTCCGATTCATGATGTCTTGGATTCAGGGGAGAGTAAACTGAGGTCTTCTAATCCTCTTGTTTAGTTCTCTGAGATTGACAAGCCATCTGACTCTGCCATTCTTTTTGGGAATGATAATGGCTGGAAAGCCCCATTCGGAATTGCCTGTTGGAGCWATMACTCCTTCATCAACTAGGTGTTGGCACTCCTTTTTGAAAACCTCCTGGTGTCTATAAGGAACTGGATATGGCTTKACATATTTKGGTGTGGCATCATCCAAAAGATCAATGTGGATCTTCTCATGAGGATATCTGCCAAGCTTCCCATCAAACACTTTCTTGTGTTTGGCTAGCATCTCCTGGAATGCCACTCTTTCTGATTTGGTCATGTGCTCCTGATGGTCTGCAACCTCTTGTGGAGTCACGCCCTGGTATTTTGCATCCAGTATTTTATTGAGCTCTGTTCCACCAGTAGCTCTGGCAGCACCAGTTGGGCCTGCTAAATAACTGTCTGAGCTAGCTGCACGTCTGCAGTCTTGTTGTCGGCAGCTTGGGGGGAGTAGATGAAACTCTAGGAAACCTCCATCTAAGAGCTCATCATCMTCTGCCAGCCACATGGCTTCAGCCACTTGCTGGGGATCATTGAAATGATCTGATGGCTTCATCTCTATGGAAGAATCTAGCCATCTGATGGTGTGCTTGGAGAAGAGAAGATCTATCCAGGTCATGAGCAGAAAATCTCTTCCTAGGATCATGTCATAGTTGCAAGGGGCTGAGAAGATTCTTGCATTGATTCCCTTGATGAAYTTGCCATTGCCAAACTCAGGTAATCATATATGGGATATGAAAACATATCTGGTTCTATCAAAGCTTCCTTGGGCTGTTGTGGTGACTGAGCTAATCTTATCCACAAAGGGGACTGTTCCTRGTGGAAGACAACACTTGTGAATCAAGCACATAGTGCTTCCACTATTCAAAAGGACCTTGAATGTATTCATCACTGGTAAATCTTGGATTGTCTTGCAAACAAGTATGGCGGCTGGAAGCAAATCTGGATTCAGAGCTCTCAAGGTGTCCAACGTTGGATTCTTAGGGGCATCTTCATTATCAAGGCCAAACAATTCAAGACTCTCTTCTGGTGAATGAGTGGGTGGTGCTGGAGGCAATGCAAAGAGAGCCTCTTCCTTCACGGTGTTTTGTGGCTGTCACCATTGTTGATTGAGTCCGTGAAACCTAACTGTTGAACTTACATTGCTGTTGGATTGTATGGAGACATGGCTTGGAGGACTTCCACTTGAACTAGAACCATTCTGTGCTTGTGCCAGTTGATAAGTTTGGAATGGAGGCTGTTGTTGCAGTGGAGTTAGCTGCCCCTTGTCATTGAGGAGATAGGTKCCTGGTGCGTATKTCTTATTGGCTGAGCTTGAGTTTGAGCTTTGGTTGTTATTGTTATCATTCCTCYGACTGTTTCCTTGGTRATTGTTACCTTTCCTGTTGAATGGGCATTCTCCCCAGGTGTGCTCTCCATTGTGCTTCCTGCAGGGCTTTGCATTGATCCTCCTTTGTCTTTCTATCTGATCTTCACTGCCGGCGCTGTTACTGTTATTGTTACTGTTAGTGTTGGTGTTGCCCCGCCTTTGCTTCTTTCCATTCCTTGACCTGTGTTCACTTGAATCATTTGCTGCTCTTTTCTTAGATTGATTGTGTTGTTGCTCCTCATCTGCTATCCCTTTCTGGTCTGTCATGTATTGCACAATCTGTTCGATGGTGTCATTGAGGATCTCACTTCCACAATGGATGTAATCATTTTGCMAAGACTTGGGGAAGGACCTAAAAAGAATCTGCTTGATCTCTCTAGCTGATAGCGGTTGTCTAATGTCGTGAAGGATGTTGGCTCTGGCGCAGCAGGTTTCAACTCTATCTGCATGAGCTTTGCATGTGCTTGTGTGGGGCTTACGGATGACGTCTGACTGTAAATATTCAATGGCCTTGTCACATGCTCTCTTTGATGGCGAATAAAATTTTCTGAAAGTGAGGAGAGCTGTTTTCCATTGTTCCAAGTTGGTTCTTGGTATTTCCAATCTGTTGTTGTTCCACATACTGTTCCATYTCTGTCTGGGCCTGTGCGCAAGGACCATTTGCCACTTCTGGTCTATTTGCTCCTCTGGTAGCTCCAAATCCAATATTGCATCCTAAAAATCTTCCTCTACATGGAATAACTCTTGCACTYCATGCTCTCCGGAAAAGGCCAAGCAGTTCCTTGTTAATTTCCTTACTGGATTCCATAAATTCACTGTAATGGAGACTGTCTTGAGCTGGTTGAAGTTATTTGTAAGGCTGAGACAGGATCATAGATGTGAGTGTCAATGTTGTTTGGAAGAGGAATTTTTATTTGGTTTCACCATGGTCGATTCACTTATCCGGTGATTTTTCTTAAGGGTTGATTAAATTTGTTACACGTCAAAAACGGGTAGTAATTACTGTGCACAAGATTACGTGTACTTTGCTTTAATTGTGTATGAATATGAAATTATAAGATTAAAGATTATCGTGCGCTTTTACGAGAATTCCGGAATTCTGATTAGATCCCTTTGTAGATCTGGTACTGAATCTACATGAGGGTTCTCCTATTCCGGACTCGTGACATCTTTATTCTTCGTAAAGTATTCTCAAATCGTACCTCGTATTCGTAGACCTCTTAGGATTCTTGGTACGATGGATCATATGATATACATATATATATATATATATGAATAATACCTTATGATATGTATGTAGGAATGGTATGTCCAACCATGTACGTACGTTTCCAATACTGTACGTACGTTTCCAATACTGTACGTACGTTTCCAATACTGTACGTACGTTTCCAATACTGTACGTACGCTTCCAATACTGTACGTACGCATCCATTGCAACAACAACTAGTACTAGTGATAGTAAAATTGGAACTCCTACTACGAGTAGTAGTAATAGTAAAATACTACTACTACTAATAATAATACAGCTAGAATTACTAGTACTAGTAGTGTAGCAGTAGTAGTTCTAGTAGAAGTAGTAACATTTTCTGGTTGTCCATGTCCTCATGACTACCATTAAGTTGTATGATGCACATTACTGCTACCAGTACTATTGTTGGCAACTTAATACACTACTACTAGTAGTCGTATCATAGTACTACTAGTACTGGTGCTACTGCTACTATAATTGTGGTAGTTGTACCGCAATTACTACTAGTATTGGATCAGCAAGAGTACTAGTAGTAGTACTAGTAGTAGCTACTAGACACTAGTACGTCTGTTAGCTACTAGTACTACTAGTACTAGTAGTAGTACTACTAGTACTACTAGTACTACTAGTACTAGTACTACTACTACTACTACTACTAGTACTACTACTAGTACTAGTACTAGTACTACTACTACTACTACTATGCAAAAAACTTGAACTGCTTTCATGCAAAAACTGTGTGGCAGTGACATTCATACTACTTACTAGATGTTTGTTTGGTGAAAATATTCAAAAATTGATCAAGGGTGGGTGGGTGGAATTCTGAAGGAGCTTTTAAGGGGCCTTTGGATTCCCTAAAAGTACGTACTTCACAATCCAGTGAAATGTGTTTGGATGACATCTTCTTTGTTACTGGCTGAATATTACGACAGATCTTTATACATGCCGCGGGCATTGATCATGCCTGGATATCACCAAGAAAATTCGTCTTTAATCCGAACTATTTAAAGCAGAGCATACTAGTAAAGAATAGAAATGTAAAGTTAACAATTATAGATCAGCATTTTCCGCTGCTTGGTCCTACTAATTTATTCTGTTAATAAGATGTAATCTTTGTCACCACTGCATTCGCACGGCCACGGCATTGATCCGGAAAGTTTTCACCAGCCTGTAATAGCAATGGAATCAAATCTTCGCTTTTTTCGGACATGATCCGTACATTTTCCGGTACGTAAGAGCAAGTCTTCAAGTAAAAGCAAGCGTTCTTTTGTACATGCCCGTCCATCGGGAAACTTTTCATAGCCGCAATCACTATCATGAGGACTGGGTCATTGATCTTGGCAACAGTCCTCGTGATGGAATCGACTGCTATATTATTCAGAGCCGACAGACCGATGCTTACCACCTCTGGGTTACGATAGTGTATCCATAAAGCGTATACCACAGCAGTTTCTCCGCCCATTTTGTTTATCTTCGGCTTGTTTGATGGTGCAGTAGCCATATTTTTTAGCGCAATCAATCCCTTCCTTTGTACCTCAGTTGAATCAGTATGGGCTAACAATGCATTGACGACAGTTGGAACTCCACCGCATTTTCCGATCTGTTCTTTCCCGGTACCAAAAATACTTAGCATCGCCAACAGGTTGCATCCGCTCGATTGTAGACTAACAGATCCTAGACTCAATTGCATCGTATTGATGATCATTCGCGATCTATTTTCTCCGAGTAAATACTTTTTGAAATCATCGTCACGATCACAGCACGTGCACATAACATCCAAAATAGCAGACACAACATCGGAGTTCTCCACGTGATATTCCAATCCTTCAATCAGAGAGAGCTTTATGGCGTCCCGAGAGCGTACGAATGCATTATCATCCAAATAGCAAACGATTGATGATAGTATTCTGCAGAGAGTGATCGCAATCATCCTGTGTTGAGGGTGCGATGTGATCCCCATACATAACTTGTGTATCCCGTTATGTTGATCCAACAATTTAGCTATTCCAACACCACAATCTGCACTACAAGTAACCAGGCTCTGCAAGATTGAGTAAATATTGATTTGTATCCGCAGTTCCTCTCGTTTCATCCCCAAAGTCGAGAGGATAATTTCAATTGCACCGTGGCATTCCATGACCTTACGACTCATCTCAAGATCGTTGGAAAGGAGATTCGAAAGCACACTTGACGATCGACCAGATATCTCGCTACTGTCGCTACCGACAAGGGTCAGTATTGTATTGACATCAGAAGTGCTATACTCAGATTTTACTGATGTGTGCGCTTCCTGCGTGATCACCAGCGCGTCCAGTACTAAGGCTTCGATGGGGTTATTTCCTGTGAATTGCAATAGCATGTTGCAAAGATGCTGAACGATACGAGTAGCCCATGGTTTGAAGTCTTTCGTTCGAGCAACACTTATTGATACAGACAGAGCCGGAATTGCACTCTTTTGTAAGTCGATATTTGATCCATGTAAGCGCAAACAGTCGAGAACAACTGCGTAGGGTAGCTCTATCACAAGGCTGATTGCCAGTCGATCTTGAGCACTGCCACCTGGTTCTGATACCGGATGCAATAAATTCAAAATTGAAAGACAYCCATTGATTTGAACGTTAACTTGGTCAAGATGAGCACTCATAGCTTTATGGATGATGACCAAAGCCTCTCGCTGATTTTGAGGAGCCCATGGTCCTTGCTGTGTTCCTACATCTTTCACAGGATATGGGAGATGGAAATAAATTTCCGCAAGGAGTGCGCATCCATATTCCTGAAAATTCGCTGAGTCAGAGTATCTTGCCATAGCTGAGAGAAGAGACGGAAAGCCATCGCTCGTATTGAACGCACTTTCCAAATGAGTTTGTCCAACTCCCAGTAGACTCTGAATGAGAGAAGTGGCATCCGCATCGTTCGTAGTATTTTCCATTAGCTTGGAAAATATCTGCGGCTGTTGTAGGAGAGTATCTTCTAGACTCGTCGGAAATCCATCATTTGTCACACACGCTCGAGTATTTGAGATGATGATGTCCAAAACAACTGCAAAGTCTCTGTCAGTTTCGACAGCTAATAGTGTCTCGAAAATGTCTAACAAGCCAGTATTAATTGCTTCTTGAGCACCCGAGAGACATCCCGTCAAAGTAGCGAAAGCACAAAGGGATGCATCCTTTACATCCAGCGAGGGGTCATCTTCCCGAGTAAGGACAAATTGTTCAAAAGCGCATTTTACTTGATCAAAGGCTCCCAAAGCCATCAAGGACTCTTTGATGCCTTGATTATGACGAGCTGCGCGTCCTATTCCCAAGCAGGCGAATTCAATCAATTCTTCAGATTTGGGATATTTCTTCATGAGAAATATWAGAGCTTCTATTATTCTCTCATTCAAAACCAGGCTCGATCCAATTATAGTTTTTTCCAGCATGTTGCAAATCGCATGAAGTGCACATGTTGCCAAACCCTCGTCGATGCTTTCGGACCTTAGTATGAATCTCTGCATAGATACGAATACCATTTGCGATAGTTCGGCTGGGATACCTTTTCGGATGAACATGTTGGCAAGTGTTCCACATCCAGCTTCTCGTATTGTGATCGAATTAAACGAATCCATCGCCGCAATAATCGTTCTCATTGCATCGTCTGAAGTTGGGTACAGCTCATCATCATCAAACTCGTCCTTTGGCACACTCAATCGCCATAGCAAGGACATGGCAGCTTCCACGGTAGATTCTCGCACATCGCATTCCATCATTACATTAAACAATGCAATGGTGTTTTTCTTCTCATTTCTCAATGTTCTCTTGACAAGATGAGAGAGTGACTTTCCAGTGTCTGGCAATTTCTTTCTATGACATGTAAATTGAAAAACGACTCGAAGCGCAATATCTGCACCATATCCACCCCTCGATATCAATGAAACCATTCGTTTCACAAGCGAAACAATCTGTCTATAGGATGCATTTAGACCCTCTTTCTCGTTCAAACTTAGGGATAGAATCAGAGCGCAAGCGAGGCTACATGCTTGTTTGTCATGCCAATACTCCTCAAGGGTTTTCATCGCACAGTCAACCCCCCCTCTCCTCACAATCAAATTCTTGTAGTTTCCGGGCAAAGAAGACAGCGTCAGAAAAGTTAGAAGGCAACTGATAGCAACAGCATTGCTGTTCTCGAAGGCAGTAAATTTGCTTTTGATTGTCTTCACCCAACCTTCACCGGTAAGTAGGACAACATCTGGGGTGGAAATCTGGCGCTTGATCACATGATATCGCATCAATCGAAAAGCTTCTAGTACCACGTTCTCTTCTACTTCCCATGTCGTCGTAGTCCCACCAGTTCCTCTGTGATCTAGCTCATTGAAAAAACGAATATAATCACCACCAGATATATCGGCCTCCAATCCTTCCACTAAGGTTTCAACATTTTCTGTCGATGTCGAATTGTTGGGTTGGTTCCCCCCAAAGTTGTCTGCACTGTTCAGGAGATCGAACGTGCGACCACTTCTTGCGCTGGCAGAGGTTGAAAAATCAGATGTTGCAAATGAATGATATGTTGATGACGGTGTATCATTGGTATGACAACTTGATCGTTCGTGATTATTGGAATCTGACACACGGGACAACAAACGAGAGCTCTTAGCCGTTTCTTGTTCCATCGTCCCGGTGACTACGTAGGACGTGCGAGATAGTCTGCTAATCAAAGCAACCTAAATGCGATACCTTCCCCTCCTTCCCGTCTTCTTCGAAAGCTGCGATTGTTGATCACTAAAGGAATGTCATACGTTCATCGTCGGGAATTTTCAACTTTCAGACTTTCTACCTGTATCGTTCGTTTTTCATTCACGATCCCTTCAAAATTCGAAGAGACCTTCGGTTTGGTTTGAGAGAACCTTTTTAGAACGGAAATGTACCAGTATCCGGTTTGCTTTACGACCTCGAAGCTTGGGATTTGGAAAGCCTATCGTACGGTACGAGTTACGAGTACAAGTACCGTAGTAACTTTGCAAAAAAGATTTGTGGAAAATACCTCCTGGGTACGTAGAGGTACTCGTACGAGTTCTGGTAGGAGTAAAAGTACAGTCTTTGTCATACAGTACCAGATATATGAAGTAGTAGTAGTAACAGTTTTACGAGGACGTCGTACCCGTGCTCTATCTAACGTCTGATTTCTKATTTTTCTAAACCCTGAAAAGTGAAAAGAGAGAAGAAGTAAGAAACGCATTCGTACCATACTGTTATCATAATATCATACAGTACATACGTATGTATGTACTACATACGTACCTTTGGAAAAGGTCCGGCCTTTTGGACCTAAAATATTCTGCGCGCAATTCCTCCTCTGCTGCCGCTCGCTCCTCGCACGTAACGCTTYATGGGCCAGCAACAAAAAACTGAAATTTAGCTTACGTCAAAAGTTTTTGTTCGTCAACTTCCTGCATTCCTGCAGTCTAATGTGTTTTCCGACGAAACATATTCTGACAACGAATATTGATTGGCAAAAAAAGACCATGAATATGTTACAACCCGCATCATTTCGGTCATCTTTGTTATCATCATGTCGACGAGTGAAAGTGTCGAACGCCAAAAAGCATCGAWTTTCGAGCGCACCAGCAATCAGGGAGGAAGAGAATACGACGGAGCGAATAGATGAATTGTCTTCTATCCCGCCATCTGCATTGATCGTAGAAGATGTTCCGGGATCAAGTGGTCATAAATCAAAGCAGAAACCTAGATTGGAAGCCCTGCGACGCCAACTACGAAAGGAGAGAAAYAACCCACCATTGACACTGCAATCCTTCGGGATAAAGAAAAATACAGARAAAAGTATTATGCAGAAACCCTCATCGTCGGTAGTCGAAGATGAAGACACAAAACAACGAAATAGTCTTGACGAATTGATTGAAAAATTGGATTCGGTCCCTCTTCCGAAGGAGCCACTAACAGATACATTCGGCAGACACCATTCCTATTTGAGAATATCMTTGAGCGAACGGTGTAACTTGCGATGTCAGTACTGCATGCCTGAAGATGGTGTACCGCTCCAACCCGCTGAGAATTTGCTTACCAACGCAGAGATTATGAAGCTTGCTACCTGGTTCAATCGTCAGGGTGTCAACAAAATTCGTCTGACTGGAGGGGAGCCATTGTTGAGGAAGAATCTCGTCGATCTCGTGGCCAAACTTAATGAATTRGAAAATCCTGTCGAACAAATTGGCATGACAACGAATGGTGTTACTCTTTCCAAGAACTTACCGGATTTGGTGGATGCTGGATTGACACACGTAAACATAAGTTTGGACTCCTTGAAACCCGATAAGTTTGCAAAATTGACCCGTCGACCAGCTACCTATTTTGATCGCGTTATGCAGGCAATTGGAGACTGTGCCGCATACCTTCCGAATCAGACCAAGATTAATTGTGTTGTAATGCCAGAAAATGCGGACGAGCTCCAAGATTTCGTCGAATTATCACGTAGAATGCCAGTAGAYATTCGTTTTATCGAATACATGCCATTCAACGACAACCGATGGGGGACTGATGATTTTCTAAGCTACCGTCAAATGCAAGAGCAAATCAAAGGATTAGAACGAGAAGAGGACGGCCCGAACGATACTACGAAATGGTGGAGACTGAAACCGAGCCAAGACTTCCCGAGCAAAAGTATGGGACGAGTCGGATTTATCACTAGCATGAGCGAGCATTTTTGTGGGACTTGCAACCGACTGCGCCTCACTGCTGATGGCCAACTGAAGGTGTGTCTGTTCGGAAAGACTGAAGTCAGTTTGCGGGATCTGATGCGTCAGGGYGGCTCAGATGAACTGCTGCAAAAAATTATTCACTATTCTGTCCAACGGAAGAATTTCAAACTGGGTGGCCACAAAGATATGGAAGACTTGCAAGCCCATTCTGACGAAAATAGACCAATGACATTAATCGGTGGATAAAAGACGATGCAAGTTCATTGCACTGAAAAAATAGATTTTATCCGGCATTTTTTCTTTTTCCAGAATACTAGAATGGGTGGTGTTTGGCTTGTCGACGATGTTGTGATACGCGTCTTGCTAAGAAAAACAAATGCCCAGGTAAAGGAACTTGAGAATTTCAAATACTTCCATAGAATTTTGACAGTAAAATCGAAAATATCGATACTTTTTTTGAACAATGACATGGACCAATTTTTTCCTCCCATGATTTCGACAAACCCTCGGCTCAACCACGTCGACAATGTACGGTATGGTTTACGGTTTCCGATGAAGCCATTATTTTACAAGAACTACAGCAAAAGTCTTGACAATAGAGTTACGGTTCACGTATTGAGCATTGAAGGGACAATTGCACGGGAAATCGAATTAATTTATTGTAACAGTCGTAAAAGGATTTCTGCACAGAAGGTCAACATTCCCGTCGTACAAAGGCGTTAACTGTCCTTTGGAATGCATGGTTTTCAAATTTTTTTAATAGAAGAAATTGTGGTCATCAGATTAGCTCATGTTATACCGGTAGTCTGATTCTAGCTCACTACGTACTACTGTACCAGAGAACAAAATATTTTAGACCCTTGTCTACGACCTACCGAAATGCGTAATAAAGGGAGTTTAGCTGGTTTTCTACTTTTTGCGTTGCCGTGATTGACGATGATGCTTCCGATGCTTTCTCAATCTCAATTAGTATTTCGAAGTACGTTYGAAGAAAAACTTGCCAGTGTTTCAGAGGTACGAGTACGTATGACACCGTACGCTCGTACAGTAGGGATGGCTACGAGTTGGTGACTCGAGATTGTGTTCAAAGAAGAGTGGATAAGAAAAACATACTATTTGCGCGAATTCTGTACTGGTGGCCGCGCGATACCGGAGCTCTCTCAAAGTAAAACCCGAACTTGGGTTTCTGTGATACCAGAGCTATTCCACTTACATGAGACGTCACGWGGTCAATTTCGACAAGTTACAGGAAGTTGCGCATCATCTGTTGGAAACCAAGAAAGGTTGTGATGGTTTGGTCGAAACCCTCCTGTCACATTTCTCTTCTGCAACCTGTCTGCGGGAACTTTCAATTTTTAAGACAATAGCCCTAGAATTTTTGAGAAACAAAAAAAGTTACGGTACTAGTAGTCCCTTCGCCAGGAAATAGGGTTTACGCAAAACTCCCTCCTTTTGCTCGAAAACTCAATTTGGACTGACGAAGCAAAGCTTTGCTGCTTCTGGAAGTTTGGCCATTAAGTACAGATCGTGTTAAAATTCCGGGTTCTAAATTCTACTATCTGCACAGTAATTCTAAACYCACTGAATTGTGTCAAAAAAATTTGAGAACGACTGGGAGAGAAGTGAGGACTTCCTCTCCGTAGCAGCCTTCATAATTCAACGAAGAAGACTTCCGAAACACCACCTCGGAACTTCTCTCACCGCATTGTCCATAWAATTCAAAACACACAAGCAAATACGTTTGTAGTCTAGCATGCCTCCTCAAGCTGAAACTAAATGCGCTGATACCATGACGGCACAAGTTGACACAGACGATCTGAATAAGAAGTACGGGCCTTACCCCAACGCGGTCCCCGTCCCATTCATTTCTAAAGATGAGAAAACCCCCCCGAAAGAAGAAATCGCGAAAGCTACGTCGTATATGGATCTGCAAAAGTTCCCTGACCACCGCGATGTAGGAACTCCTGATGAATGGCTCCCACGCGATGGACGTTTGGTGCGATTGACGGGTCGCCATCCTTTCAATGTGGAACCCCCTATGAGTGAATTGCGCAAGACACGWTTTCTTACGCCGTCTTCTCTTCACTACGTGCGCAACCATGGTGCCTGTCCGCGMTTGACCTGGGAAGAACACACCATCGAAATTGGTGGAYYCGGTGTGTCGAAACCCATGGAACTGTCCATGGACGAACTCGTAGCACTTGCCCCGGCAAGAGAACTTCCTGTCACGCTCGTGTGTGCTGGAAACAGGAGAAAAGAGCAGAACCAGATGCGTCAGACTATCGGATTCAACTGGGGTCCTTGTGGTGTCTCCACGAACGTTTGGAAGGGTGTCATGCTGCGGGACTTGCTTCTCGCTGCAGGAGTCAAAGAGACTAACATGAGGGGGCAACATGTCGAGTTYATCGGTGTCGAAGATCTTCCCAACAAGGTTGGCCCAGGTCCTTTCAAGGACGAACCATGGGGAAAGCAAGTGAAGTACGGTACCTCCATTCCTCTCACCCGTGCCATGAACCCTGCTTATGATRTCATCATTGCTTACGAAGCAAACGGTGAAAAGTTGCAGCCCGATCACGGTTACCCTGTCCGCCTCATCATTCCCGGTTACATTGGTGGCCGAATGATCAAGTGGCTCAAGAAAATCAATGTCATTCCCCATGAAACCAAGAACCACTATCACTACCACGATAATCGCATCCTTCCTCCCCATGTAACAGCAGAACAGTCCTTGAAGGAAGAGTGGTGGTACCGACCTGAATACATCTTCAATGAGCTCAATATCAACTCTGCCATGGCATCTCCTCTTCATAACGAAGAGCTTCCTATCGCAAAGAACATTGATAAAACATACAATGTGTCTGGATACGCTTACACTGGRGGTGGTCGAATGATTACCCGTGTTGAAGTTAGTACCGATGGTGGTGTGAACTGGAACCTTGCAACCTTGGACCGCAAGGAAGAACCCACAGACCATGGCATGTACTGGTGTTGGACCTGGTGGGATTTCGAGCTGAAGGTTGCCGACCTTGTTGGATGCAAGGAGATAATGTGCCGTGCTTGGGATGAATCGAACATGACCCAGCCTAACGATCCCACTTGGAATCTTATGGGTATGGGAAACAACCAAGTCTTCCGCCTCAAGGTGCACATGGAAATGAACGCTGCCGACCAACACGTTTTCCGATTCGAACAACCAACGCAACCCGGTCAACTTAAGGGTGGATGGATGACGCGCCTCGCCGACAAGCCCGACTCTGCWGGTTACGGAAGGCTCCTCGAGACCGCCGTTGCAGGTGAAGWGCCTGTCGCTGCAGCGCCTGCGAAGAAATCTACTGAGAAGAAGATTTTCTCGAAGGCCGAAGTAGCCAAACACAACACGGAACATGATACATGGATTATTGTCAACAACAGAGTTTATGATTGTACCGAGTACCTCGAACTTCACCCTGGTGGAGTTGATTCCATCACCATCAATGCCGGTGATGATGCTACGGAGGACTTCGTTGCCATTCACTCTGCKAAGGCGACTAAGATGCTTGAAAGATATTACATCGGAGACCTTGAAGCATCTGCGGCTGGCGAAGAAGAGAAGAAGGAGGATGACGAACTTGTCGATGACCAGGGACGCAAGCTGGCCCTCAATCCCCGCAAGAAGACACCATTCCGCCTTCAAAATAAAGTCGTCCTATCAAGAGATTCTTTCATGCTTGACTTCGCTCTTCCTACTCCCGATCACGTGTTGGGTCTCCCTACAGGAAAGCACATGTTTTTGTCTGCGAAGATCAATGGAGAAACTGTCCTTCGGCGGTACACTCCGATTTCTTCAAACTACGATGTTGGCTGTGTTAAATTTGTGATCAAAGCTTACCCACCAGCCCCTCCTCGATTCCCCAACGGAGGAAAGATGAGTCAGTACCTTGACTCCCTGAAAATTGGCGACTTCCTTGACTTCCGAGGACCCGTAGGCGAGCTTGAATACCACGCAGATGGAAAGTTCTTGGTTGACAACGAACCGCAAACAGCCACTGCTTTCAACATGATTGCCGGAGGTACAGGTATTACACCTGTCATGCAAATTGCATCTGAGATTCTTCGTCATCCCAAGGATCCTACCAAAATCTCACTCATCTTTGCCTGTCGTGAGGAGGGTGATCTCTTAATGAGATCCACTCTTGACGAATGGGCTGTTCAATTCCCACACAAGTTCAAGGTTCACTACATTCTGAGTGATGCTGTTCCAGAGGGATGGAAATATTCTAAGGGATTCGTYGACAAGGCGCTATTCGAGACCCATTTGTATCCCAAAGGAGACGACGTATGGAATCTCATGTGCGGTCCGCCGATCATGTTGGACCGCGGATGTACCCCGAATCTCGTGGCACTCGGTCATTCCAAGGACCGTCTCTTTTCCTTCTAGACCAGGTCACGCCATTCATCCATTGTATCAATTCGATAGGTTACAGCATGTACTCAATTTTGCGAACTGATTCCGATTGGTTTTACAACACACCGGTTTTCCCGCCAAAACCGCAAATAGCTACAGTAAATTAATTCCAAACTAGAAAAACAAAAATATCTTKATGCCAAATACTTTCACATTCTGGTCGAACAACGGGAAGGCGGAGATGTATATATTCAGGATTGCGATTCGTATTCAATTTTCCATCTCAATCAATTTGGAACAACATGGTTGACTTAGGGACAGAGAGAAAATCGTTGGGACATTCATCGATGTAGCCCATGATCGTATTATTGATGAACTGCAGGTACGTTTCTTTACGAAGCAAAGATGGCGATCTAATCGTTAAGAYGTCGAGCCCAAATCCTAGGCAATTTTTCTKTTTAGTACCAGTACAAGAATCTGCGGAAACATGATACTGTGYAGAACCATGACCATCAACGTCAAGAAACATARTTGTCAACGGAGAGCATCGTAAGAGTCAAACGAATCAACTCTTTCATCACTTGATATTATAATTGGAATTCCAATTGCCTGGGAGATACATGTCGGAAACAGACATGCCCTCTTTCTCAAACTCCCATCATTCACAATGAAACAAATCTGTTTGCTTTGCACGCAGAGCAAATATTATTTTGAGCAGATATTCCTTTCTACCTTGGCAGAACTGTTCGCCACTTCCGAAACGTATTGGTAGCTTTYTTTCTATTTTATTTGTTTTAAGATCATTTAAATCTCGTCATCTTCCACTTCGGGATTGGCGTAAGCAACAATTCCATAAGCAAGGACTCCAGCAACTCCCAAGGCAGCAAGGATGGGAACAAGCAAAATGATGGGAGTTCCAATGAACACACCAAGAACATCCGACAAGATGGTGGTCGGATCGAGGGTAGCAGCTGACAGTTCAAAAGATGAAGATGGCATAGAAAAGGAATCGGCACTAGCGATTGATGAAAAGTCCGAAACAGACGAAACTGGTAGCATATTCTGTGTCGATGTCACTCTCGTCAATTGAGGAGCAGTGGTGAATGCCTCGCATGACGACAAACCCCCCACCAACAAAACCGTCGATAAGATCATTCGTGAAACAGAAATCTTTCTCTTTTGGGACATTATGACTCAATTTTCAAGTTACAGGAAGATTGGTTGACCTTGTGAGGATACGAAGGTGAGAGAACGTCGTATTAAATTGTAATTGGGTTGTCGAAGACAGCACATCTGCAAAAAGGAGTGAGTGATTGTTCGTCCTTTCCCGGTACAGTTCGAGGGGTACTGTAGAGCTGGGAAGTACGATTGCATGCCGAAATTCGTCGACGACGAATGACGAATTCTCACATTGACGTTGGATGATGGATTGATTCGACTCGCTTGGCCGGGTTTCCATTGAATTTTCCGGATAAGGATGGTAATAATACGTCTTATTACTGGTGAGCTTATTGAAACAAGAAGGCAATTAAAAACAGAATCCTTTTCTTCAACTCCTTCCCGCTGGAACCAGCATTCAATAAGTTACATTACGTACCGTACGGTACACAACGTATCGTCCTTGAATGGAGAGTTCATGCGTATGTTACGGTACCGTACGGTACGGTAACTACTGAATGCCAGAAAAAGACAAAAAAGCTTCCTCAATTAGGGGGAAGCACAAAATTAGGGTTGATTGAAAGTAAGACAATGGATGATGTTTAACGAGTGAAGTACGTACGTACTGTACGCTGCAAAAGCAAAGTACCGGTAATTTTCAATCAAATTCAGCAGGCCACGACGAAGAAGTTCTCTGAAGTAGAAGTGCTCAGCGCACTGCGTACAAGTACTGCTCTGTTCCTGATTCGAAAGAAAGGTTCCCAACCTTCGTTTTTCCAGAGAAAAAATCTGCCGAGCTGGAAGAATGAGCTACTACTACTGGGACGTTCCGGGACGATCATCATTGACTATTTTACCACGCTGGGCACGCTACCAGGGACGTTCCGAAACGACTAATTTCCACGTACGCTTAGCTACCAGATCTCCGACTAGGTCGACTACGGTAGATTGTTGCTGCAACAACGCATCATTGCCTCTATTAAAAAAAGGGTATACGRGAAACTATTTATTCAAAATTCGATTTTTTTGCTACCAGAATTCGACTAGAAAAGGAATACATATCAGATTTAAATCTGATCGATATCTGATTGATTTCTGATTGATATCTGATTTATAGTCGATTTTTGGTAGCCTTCCCAGACCCCCCATGTATAATTTATACTATACCCGCATATAATATCGGAGTCTCAGATATGGCACGTGCTGATAGGGCTAACACATGTTGACTATATTCCTACTACCAATGACCGACTATGTTTTTACCATAAGTCGACAATGTTTTTACCATAAGTCTACCAGGAAAAAGCCAGATAAATTTGACCTAAATGAAAATAGTTTCACGGGGCCCCCTATTTTTTAATAGAGGTGATGATGCGTTGCAGCAACAATCTACCGTAGTCRAACTAGTCGGAGATCAGGTACCTAAGCGTACGTGGAAATTAGTCGTTTCGGAACGTCCCAGGCAATAGTCTGGCAATAAGAATGGTAACTTGCTGGCATTACCAGAACAGTTACCACAATCTGGTAGGATTTATGGTAGCAATCCGGTATTCTTACCAGTTACCAAAATCCGACTAGAATTGCTACCATCTTGCTACCAGATTGCTACCATCAATGCTACCAGATTGCTATCACAAACGCTACCAAAATATATGCCGCGCTACCAGAATTTTTTTTAATATCCCAGCCCCCTCTTAAGTATGACTCATTCAAATGAATACGGGGGCTAAGAGAATCTAATTATTATAGAAAATATTTATGGTAAAATGGTAGCTACCAGATTTCGACTAGAATTGCTACCATCTTGCTACCATCTTGCTACCATTTTGCTACCAGATGGTAGCAATTTTAGTCGCAAGATGGTAGCAATTCTGGTAGAAATTCTGGTAGTTATAGTTTCTTGGAGGTCCTGGGACTGCAAATATGCTTCATTTTATGTGTTAAGCTGCGCCTGCTGGTTCCATTCCAGTAACAGGTCTAGTAGCAAAGGTGCGTGGTAAAATCTTCAATGATGATCGTCCCCGAAACAGCGAATTTCCATGTACGCTTAGCTACCAGATCTCCGACTAGTGCGACTACGGTAGATTGTTGCTGCAATGTTTACGCTGACTATAAATAGGGGGATATGGGAAACTATTTATTCAAAATTCGATTTTTTTGCTACCAGAATTTGACTACAAATCGACTAGAAAAGGAATACAAATCAGATTTAAATCTGATTGATATCTAATTGATATCTGATTTAAAGTCGATTTTTGGTAGCCTTCCCAGAACCCCCATATAATTTATACTAGACCCGCAGTAGTACTACGGTACAGTATGATACTAGTAATAAATAGTAAACGTACATGTATATAATTTATACTATAGATATGGCACGTGCTGATAGGGTTACCACATATTGACTATATTGCTACCAAAGATCGACCATGTTTCTAGTACCTTAAATTGACAATGTTTTTACCATAAATCTACCAGGAAAAAGCCAGAGAAATCTGACCTAAATGAAAATTGTTTCCYGGGACCCCCTCTTTTTAATAGAGGTGTTGCGTTGCAGCAACAATCTACCGTAGTTGCACTAGTCGGAGATCTGGTAGCTAGGCATACGTGGAAATTCGCTGTTTCGGAACGTCCCTGAGTATTCTTAGTACTACCCATTTTTACATGGTTTCAAACCACTTCAGTGTTCGGAAACAAGCTCATTTGGTGTTTACTGCTCCACAAAATAAGGATGGGAACATTCTTGGAGTACTACTACTACTAGTACTACCGGTACTAGTACTATTTGCACAATACCATATCACCACTACTAGAAGTACTACTAGTACTACGAGCTAGTACTAGTAGTGCAGACATACTATTAGTAGTAGTACTAATAGTATGTCTGCACTACTAGTAGTACTACTAATGATGTTTTGGTACTACTAGGTACTACTAGTAGTAGTACTAATAAATTGGATCAAGCACTGAGATTTTGCACTGCTGCTATAAAGAAGCACACAGCACCAGAAACATCATGTTTCATCCATCCTCCAAGAAGATGTCGTCTCCCCATCGACCAGCATTACTTGTAGTAGTACTACTACTACTAGTAGTAGTASTACTACTACTAGTACATCTTATTTTGGTCAAACAAACAGATTTTGTGTCTACAAGCAAGGGAACTGTTGCAGCCAAAAAATTAGCTTAAATTCAACAAGGAGAACTTTAAAATTAAACCACCACCAGTACTTATTTCTACGGAGGTGTAGTACAGTGATAAGATTTGGAATGTTAAGTCTAGAAACATTTGAAATATTAAGTTTCACATTTGAAGAATCCTGTTTCTTGGAAAGTTCAATTGAGACTAATTTAATACCTGTAGTATTACCATAATACTCCTCCTGCTAGTAGCTGCCGCTGCTAATGCTAGTCGTAGTACTACTACTANGTTCAATTGAGACTAATTTAATACCTGTAGTATTACCATAATACTCCTCCTGCTAGTAGCTGCCGCTGCTAATGCTAGTCGTAGTACTACTACTAAAAAAAAAACTTAATATTATATTTAACCTCGTGAACTAGAAGAGGCACTAGGAAGGCCAGAACCATTGCAATTGCTTTCGTGAGAAAGAATGCTTCTAGTTGCTCCGAGGGGCGGCGCCTCCCTAGTCGTAGTACTACTACTAGTGGTACTAGTAGTACTATTTGGTACCACCACCACCTATTTGCTACTAATAGTAGTAGCAGGGCAAGGAGAGGAAGAAGGGCAAATGTGCAAGAAGAACAAGTAGAAGGAGCAAACAACAATACTAACAAGAAGAACAGCAAGAAGATTGACAAGAATCACAAGTGCTACATCATGCATACTAGTATTTTCTGAAAAATATTGTGGTGATCATCATCATACTAGTACTACTAGTACTAGTAGTGCAAGTAGCATCATGTTGATTTTGATAATGGACAGTACTAGTAAGAAGAAGGAGAAGTGTTTTTAGCATTAGCATTAGTACTAGTAATACTGTATTACCATTTTCCCTTCCTTTTCTTCTAATACTAGTAGTACTAGAATCAAGGGTGGGAGGAATCTTGTTGAGCTACTACTACTGTTACACCAATTACCACCAATAAACCATGAATACTACCAGCACCAGCAATTTATCACCAGAAGGTAGCACCAGCAGCAGTTCCAGAGACTCAAACACAAAATAACCCCTTGCTCCACAAGGTGGTTGACATTAGTACTACTACTGTGCAAAGCCAGTAGTAGTACTTGAGACAGGGCATCATTGCTGTCATTGACATTCAAATCACTAGTAGTACTACTAGTAGTAGTAATAGTGATTCTCTATCTTCTTACAAGAAGATGGATTCTGTGGTAGTAGTAATGCTCTAATATGATCTCTCTAGGAGAATACTACTACTMAGAAGTGGCTTTAAAGAATGATKATGTTTTTTGCTACAATTGGACTCATTTTTATTTCACTCAACTTGTCTATTCCTCAGTAGAGGGGCTAGAGGTTCCAGTAGAGGAGGCTATAGAAGCCTCTTGGAAATAGTAGCTACTTGCTGGTAGCTAGTAGCTAGTTTCCATATTTTCTTCAAAGTGGGGATGGCACCATTATCAGTCATTTTGTTTGGTCAGATTGAGAATTGGCTTTTTCTGGCCAATGCCACAACGGCAATCACCAGGTCATACCTGATGGGAATTTTGATGTCTCATTGAAATTCAATTAGCCTTTTTTGAATGTAGTTCTCATTCAGGCATTTTGACTTTTGTTGTCTTTTTGTTCTACATTTTTCTGACCTTGCTGCTTACGCATAGTGCACATAGTTTTTTCTGAATCCTCCTCAGAACTGAAGTGGTGCTGTGTTTGAAATTCACTTTATCATCATCTTTGACTAGTACATAAATGAAATTCACCATAGTACTAGCAGCTACTCGTCACTCTTCACCACCAATCCAAGGTGCATTAGCCAGGCACTTTGTGGGTGGACTCCATTCAGTACTTATTGTAGTGGTAGTAAATTATGTGCTACAATTACTACTACTACTACTACTACTAGTAAAACTGGCCATGCCTCCACAACCACTCCTTGGAGGGAGGTGCTGCCCCTTGGAGCAGCTAGGAGCATTCTTCTCCCTAGAAGTTCTGGTGGTTCTGGTTCACATAACACCAATAGTATAAGATTTTTTAAATGACTAGTAGTAAAACTAATTGCACTTCAACAAATTTGAGATATGAATACTACTAGTACTAGTATTTGTACTTGTGCCTGATGGTTGTTTCATAGTACTACTACTATCAACAGTGGCATCGGACAATGATATCAGATAGTACTGCTGGTGTACAACAGTCTTCGTCCAATCAAAAAGATGCTACTAAATAAAAGTGCGAGGTATTGTATCACTCGTTGACTCTCATGAGTATTGGTACAGAATCAATCTTCGTACCTTATTCAAAAGTTTCGTTCTAACGGGATAATCTTCATTCCCCTTGACATTTGGTGTTGAATGCYGAAACACACAATTGATGCAGTTCAATAAATGATCTAATATTTATCTAGTGTAGCATAAATACATTTATCTCATCCTTTAAGACACATCTCGCTGTAAAAATTCTACCGGTGTCATCGACATCCTTCGTGCCTGAAGTAATGTCCGGGACCGGGAGGCGTCAACGTGTCAGTTGTTGCGGCAAATTGGAGCGCTGCATGATTTAACGGTAAAGTCCGTTGTTGATTCTGTCGATAACGTAGTCAGCGGAAGGAGGAGTGACGGTGAATCGGCTTTCGTACTTCTTGATCAAGTCCTTTTCGGCACCGGAAAGTCCCGGGATGCCGTACAAGTCACCTACGGTCTTGTAAGGTCCGTTGGAGGCAATTTTTCCGGCGACACCAGGGTAAAGACCAGGCATTTTCAAGTACACTCGGACGTTAGCGTTGTTAACATCGACAACGTTACCACCTCCCAAAAGACCAACACCGGCATAATCACGGTCGGCCTTGGCTTCAGGGGCGAAAGCGGTGAGTCCGGCAACACCCAAGGCAGCGGCAGCCGAGGACATGAATTCACGGCGCTCGGCGGCGAGTTCTGTGGTTTGTCGGACCTGTCCGTTAGGCGCGAAAGCGGCAACGGAGCTGTACGAAATTGATCACACGGCGTTAACACGAAGCGACGTATAGAATGAAGATCAAAGTGAGATAGGGCAAAGCTAAAAAATACTTCCATTACGATCAAATGCGAGACAATGGGATTGACTGTCCCCAAACAGTTATGCGCAAAACCGTGTGGAGGATTGCGCCCCTGCCCTTCTCTTCCGATGGTTGGAAGTTATCGCTTTTCCCGTGCGATGCCTGAAGACCGATGGTTACTACAATAGACTATGGTCCACTTACGAGACAACAAGGGCAAGGACGGCAGCGATCTTCATGGTTGTGTATAATTTTATTTTGACGGTGAATTGTAAGAATGTGACGATGGACTCTCGAGAACCGGAGCTGATGGTGACGTCTTTTGAAGCTCGCCCCTCCCATAAAACGAGGAAGAAGTTACGAAAGCCGGCGATCTTCTACAGGTTGACTTCAACCACCACGGTGTTCTTGCAGTAGAAATCTCTCTTCGATACGGTAGAATGCAAGACGTTTTAATCATAGGAATCAATTTTTAAACAAGTTTCGTACGGTTGAAAAACATGAGAATGCTAGAAAATGAAAAATGTTACGTGCACTATCAAAATTTGTTACGTATGTATCAATAATACATACYGSTAGTACGTACCAGCACTTCAAGGGTCACACATGTCACATGTCACATTTGTACTTTTCGTCCCGGTTCGTTCGTACGTACCGTACGTACCCTACGTAATCGTACGCACCTTACCATTGTTTGAATGCTTCCCGTAGCGTACCTTTACGTACGGTAGCTACTATCAGGGGTCATAATTTAGACCCCTGGCTTCGTACTATTCCGTGGCACGAAGAGTTCTACTGATAACACTTCTAATTGACAACAAAATGATCCCTAAATCTTTCTTGCTATTAACTACGTACTGTAATGAATACCTGGCAATTCACTACTTTCTCAAAGCTTGAAATTGAACGATCAATTGAGTTTAGATTAGTTTTCCGACCCAGTACTTCTTTGCACAGCAGCATAAGCTACGACGAAACGTGTCAATTAGCAATGCCTATTCGTATAGAAGAAGAAATATTTGATTCTGGTGAAAGAAATGCTTTACCACTTGAATAAGACTGCATTCTCTTGTGATAAGAATAAAATTTTGATTGCATGTTCAGTTTGAACGATGGATCAATGGATTAATTGACCCACCCGCATGCTTCTAATAACGCCGTTCACACAATCAACCAAAGTTGTTCAAAGAAGTGGTCATATTGTCACAATCAATTGGGTCCTTTACCTTATTCAATTGCTACATTCACAAGTCTGTTCGAAGTAAAAACGCCAAGAATACAATGATACCAACTATAGCCAGAACAACGTGGACCGCAAGAATAATTGTACGCAGGTCGCAAGAATGATTCTGTTTTTTTCTTGGCTTTTCATTTCCTCGAACCGCTGCTTCTTCGATCAGGACAGTAGGCTCAGGTGCAAATGAGCAATCGTTTTTAGATTCTTCAATGCAAATCAGTGGCGAATCTTCAATGACGCTATGAAATAGCTGTGTTGATTTCTGAAAAATTGATTCATTGTTTTCAAAGTCAATCTGTAGCGTCGATTCAGCTGGTGCATGAACAGATTGTGTCACCGATTCGTCACTTGCTGATTGAATAGGCTGACGATCGAATTTGGCACCAACGTCTTGGATATCCTTTACATGATGCTCGAGTGTTGGTAAAGCAAGAATTTCAATTATTGAACGTCTCGATTCTGAGGCGGAAGGAATGTGACTTTTTCCAGAAGACGCATTCCTGTTATCTTCTCGAATCGAAGAGGAGGAAGTTTTTATCTTAGAGTTCGGTACTGGAATCGTCTCAAACCCCTCTTTCCAGAATGCTTCTTCTTCAAACAACTCGGCTTTTCCCCACTCTAGATCGGAAATCTGTTTGGCCCTTTGATCCCAAGTGTCTAATCCGTCTTCCTCACTGTGCCATTCCAAATTAGATGACCCATTGGCATCCTGCTGCTTCTTTGAATTATTTGTGCCTGAGTCTTTTGTATTCTCACCTGCAGTTTTATTTGTATTCTCATGAATGATGTCTCCAACAAAAAATTCCTCTTCAAGAAAATTGTTGCTCCCTGTTTCGAGATCGGGAAGTTGTCTGGATAGACCCTCTTCCTCCCTGTGCCATTGCGCAAAAGGTGAACCATCAAAACCTTCGAAGTCTTTGAGGGAATAGATATCTACTGATTCAGGTTCGTTTTCGTTTTCGTTTTCTTTGACATTAGTGCTCATATGAGGTATAACGTCGCTGATAACATTAGAAGAGTCGTCTTCTTCATCGTAACTTTCGTCGTCGTCGATGAAAAGCATTTCTTCAGGAGGGTCTCTATTGCAGATATCATAGACACCATGGCATGCTTCATCAGAGGGATGTGATTCGTTCACAGAGTCTCTGGTATCTCTCTCTATCGCATCGATTTCTACTTGTCGGATGTTTGAAATACTGGTATGTATTTTCCTCTTGCTGCGTATTTGCAAAATTTCTTGGTTGATTCTTGCTGGTTTTTCTTGGGACGTGTAGTGAGTTTCCCAATTTTTTCCCTCGGTCCTAATGACAGTCCTTCGGGAAGCTCTCGAATCAGACTTTCTTCGACTCCGATCGTTTACTGCTCCTAATTGGTTTTGGAATGATCGTATTGCATCTGAAATCTCTTGGGAGACTTCCTGCTCTGCCACTGAAAGCATTTCCATTTCCTTTTCGAGTTCATCATCCTCCAAATCCTCTGATCCAATATCCTCTTTCATCCAACTTCTATTTTTCAGTATTTCATGGATCAAATGATCTTCATCTGAAGGAAATCCTTCATTCCCCGAGTCGTCGTCGTCATTAATTTTAGTAGAGGGTGACTTGTCCTCGAGAAGGGGAACAGAGGTCGACTTAGCCACCATAGTTCGCCAGTATGATTTTTCTGCCGCCTTCTTTCCGAATAGAGAACAACTATGAACACATTTTCTTAGACCGGGAACTTTGCCATCGATATTCACACTCTACAAGTAGCAGGTGTTCAGGTGCTCATTATTTGTCGATAAAAGTAACAGTATTTTGAAAAACTGAAATGAGCTCGGCAAGAATGAAATGTTGGCGCATGTCGAATTCTTATTAGCGATGTTTTTCTTTTTTGTGAAAATCTACGGTTCTCTGCACTTGAGATCCTTACCCGCCGCGAGGCGTGTGCGCGGCATGCTTCACTTTTTTCTTTTTTCACAAAACTTACCGAAGAACCACGCATAACCAGATACTGTAAGCTAATGGACCCAAGACCCCGATTTCATCAAGAAGCAGTACGTGCTTTTGTACATTCCCTACGGTATGCTACACATATAGCTAGGAACACACACCATCAGAATACGCTTTTCCAAAACAGTTAAAAGGTAGAATAAGGTAGGTCAACAGTAGAAATAAAGCAGCTTCTAGGTAGCCTTGAAGCTTGTTATTTTAAGCTACTTTAGCTCAAGCAACTTAAAATTACTAGTACTACTAGTAGTAGCTGTTGATTACATCATAGTAGAAATTGGGGGATAGTAGTGGAAGGGTTTGTATTACTATGTCGTTTGTTCTTGTCTTGTTTGATTAAAGAATCCTTCAGCTGATTGCAAATGATTCCAACTGGTATGGGTTTGAAKATCAGGTGATAGAAGATCAAGCTACTGATGCTAATTGATGGGTAAAGAAGACAAAGATGCTCAAGCTCTGTGATGTCACAACAAATCTCAACAAACAGAAGTGTGTTCTACATTCAGTCAAAGAAGATCAATAGAACTTCACTTGTGGTTACATTCTGGCCTGGCTTGGTATATGTATCTGCTATGGAGGTTTGGATGATTCAAAACAATCACCCCAAATTCTTTGGACTTGTCTTGAGGATGATGGCATCTAGTACTA